CACGCGTGCTCTGTGTGCATAGAGAGGGGGCTCGCTGTCTATCTACACAGAACTAGATATTCGTTCGCACACCGTGATATGATATAATTTGTTGTGTACTGGTCTTTGAAATGAGCGATGCTCCCGAAAGACCATCTTTCGAAAGGGGATGGTGTTTCAGCCTGAAGGATTCGGAACTGGTAGAAACGGAGACATCTCCTGCAGCAGAAGACGCCAAGGGGATACACCGCTGCTACAATAGAAACACGTGCATGTTCAATGAGATTTGTCTGAGTCCTTTAACCCACACTCCCAAACGGGGGTGCCTCACTTCCCCTTACCTTAGTCCTGGCCACATTTCCGTCAGTAGCACTGAGAAGCGCATCGAGCTGCTCAGACCAGCTCAGGTTCATACTCACAGCCTACGGCAAGGGGTCTGTCTCCCTGGCGTCTTGTGCCCTTGCTCTCCCAGCACCGAACAACGGACGCACAACCCAGGAAAGGCCACAACGTCAAATTGAAAGAGGGAATACTAGGGGTAGGGATGCAATATCAGACCAAAACTACGCCTCTGGGACTAGTCAGGGGAGAGGCGTACTTGGGAAAATGGGGGGGGGAAAGCGGGATACCCTCATATGCACATATTAGGAGGGAGTTTAAGGCGCCGAATCTTGGTTAAAACCTTCCCAGACGCAGGGTACTGGCGCCATCACACCGATCCTAGGCCAGCTACTACTGCCGCCGCAGCGTTCAAAACGTCTAGTAGGCCAGGAAAGTCTGACTTTGGACTGGCTGCCGCAGCGCCATTTGGGAAACTGAGTTCTCGTCTCGTGGAAACAACCCACGATGGAGGCAACCGAACTACGTTTCCCTGGAGGCAATACGTGCACGTACATCCCCACCGTGAAGCTTGTCGGGAAACTGAGTCTTTCTGATTCTATAGTGGTTGTTTCCAAGGAACAAATGAACTACATATCCCAGGATGCATCGCGCAAAGTCAACTGTGTCCCGCTACAGGTCCCACACGTTCTTGGGAAATGGAGTCCAAGCTGCCCTGAAAATTAACGGTCCCGGTTATTCTGAGACTCCATTCCCCAGCAAGCTCAGCGTGTAGCATACAGCATGGAGCCGCAAGTCGCTGAGCTGAAGAAGAAGATTGAGGACACGTTGTGCCCTTTTGGCTTCGAGGTTTACCCCTTCCAGGTTGGTTTCTCTCTCCTGCGGTGCTAGGGTGAGGTATATGATTGGCCTCGGTGCCACTGGCGTGAGGCCCTTAAGCCTCCTGCTCTTTCCGGAGCTCCTCTGGTCCCAAGTACACCTGATCTCCCGGGACAGAACGGCAAGGGGGGCTTGGGTAGGTAGGAGCTGTCGATGACCCAGTAACCTTGTGGCTGTCACTTAACATAATCGACGGGAAGAAAGGCACCCGTAGGGCCAAAGTCACTTGGGAAGCTTTCTGACGGAATTAGAAGAGGGCAAGTCTTGGGAGGTTTGCATGGCTAGGATTTAGGTCAGTTGAAAAGGAAAGGGCATTCCTGCTGTTGAACAAGCAAACAACTGGCTGGTTTGTTCCTTTCAACAGAAGAATAAGTCATAGTGTTGGGAAATCACCAGCCACTGGGTTGGGTATAGCAACTGCACCTGACTGACACACAAGTCTTGCACCACCACTACTTTCCCTTGTTTATATAAGTTCATTTTCTCCTTATCCGGTGCCCCCTCCATTGAGCTATATACTTGGACAGAAAGCTAAATCAGCTCAGCTTGAACCCTTTGCTTGTTGTTTTAAGAGGCAGCCCACTCTTAACCCCTTCCGCTGAGTGGCCCACAGCAGTGCTAGGAGAGGTTATAGAGAGAGTGGATAGGTTGGGTCTAGTTTGAAAGAGAGGACTTTCCAGAAAAAAAAATGGAGTTGAGCTTTATATGAAAAGATAGATTGGTCCCAGCCAGTGTGGGTGAATTGGTTGAGCATCGTCCCATGCACCAAGAAGTCACCAGTTCAATTCCCAGTCAGGGCACATGCCCAGGTTGCAGGCTCAAACCCCAAAGGTGGCTGATCGATGTTTCTCTCTCTCTTTCTCTAAAAGTTAATAAAAACATTTTAAAAGATAGATTGGAAGGAAGGAGGGTTATGTACATCCCAAATATCAAGAACAGCTTGAGTAAAGGAGTTGGTGGGTAGCAGATATGGGGGGACAGTAAGGATGCCTATATGGTGGGTCAAGTGGACTTGGATAGTTGGAGCTATTGTACTGAAGCTCTGCCAGTCATTCTAGGCTCCTGCTCTCACTTCCCCACCCCACATCCAATCAGCCACCAGGACCTTTAGGAATCTGTCTCCTGAATCTCCCAAATCCATTCTCTTCCATCCAATATATTCTCTAGTCCAAGCCATTTCACATTTGGATTTACTGCAATAACCTTGCTGTCATTTTGCCTCTAACGGTTAGAATCTAACCCATCCTGCACACTGCAGCTACATTAATCTTTCCCAAAACTGATCATGTCAGTTTACTCCTTAAATCTTTAATGACCTGCATTATTACCAAATTAGATCCATATTCCTAAATTGGTATCCAAGGCCAGTCACAATCTCACTCCTACTGATCTCCAGCCTTCTCTCCCTCTGCTCCCCTCTGCAGACCCTTCAACTCCACTTCTATCAAACTAAACAATTTGCAATTCTCCAAATGTGCCCTGTACTTTTTGCCTGACATTGTTTATACTGTCATCTTTTAGAATACACACCAGATTCTTTCTCCTTCCCCACATCAGCCTGTTAACTTCCCTCCCAGCCTTAAAGACTCAGTTTCCAAGAAGCCTTTTCTAATTTCAGAGGACTGTCACCTGACCCTGTCGTTGCACCAGTCAACTTTTTAAAAAAATATATTTTATTGATTTTTTTACAGAGAGGGAGAGGGATAGAGTGTTAGAAACATCGATGAGAGAGAAACATCGATCATCTGCCTCCTGCACACCTCCTACTAGGGATGTGCCCGCAACCAAGATACATGCCCTTGACCGGAATCAAACCTGGGACCCTTCAGTCTGCAGGCCGACACTCTATCCACTGAGCCAAAACAGTTAGGGCAACTTTTTTGTTCTCAGTTGTTCATTAATTCCCTCTCTATTCTAAACTTCCTGTCAAATTCAGACAAATCCCCCATAAACACTCATCACAGAGCATCAGTAGAAATTCAATGATTGAATGAATGAGATGGAGGCTGGGCACAATATATGAGACCTTGAATGCCAGGTTAAGGTATGTATTTTCTGTTCCAGGTGGCATGGTACAATGCAGTCCTGCCTTCAGCCTTCCACCTGCCCCTGCCAGGACCTACCCTGGCCTTCCTGGTACTCAGCACACCTGCCATGTTTGACCGGGCCCTCAAGCCCTTCCTGCAGAGTGGCCACCTCAAACCACTGACTGACCCTGTGGACCAATGTGTGGCCTACCACCTAGGCCGTGTTAGAAAGGTGAGCAACATTCATATCCTCTCCCAGCTTCAAACCTGCAACTGCTTCTAGCTACTCCAAGCTCAATGCAGGACTAGAGCTAAGGTTAGGAGCCACTTCCATAGGATGAAATACAGCCTTGACATTGTGATCTCTCCCCATTCTGCATTCTCAATCCAAGTCGGGCCACCTTCCTCTAGCAGCCCCCCAGGCCTGAAATCAGTCTCACTCACCCTACACTGATGGGCAACTAAATGAACCTCAGACCAGATTTCCCTTGACCTCCAAGTGAAATAGGAATAACATTTCCCAGGCATCTCTCACCTGTCTTCGCCCTAGACCTGGAAGTTTTATGCTGTCTTTGGGGCCTTTTAAGGACAAAACAGTATTTCCCCACCACACACTCACATGTACATATTTACATATATACATACACTGGGACTCTGGAGGGCAGAGCCAACTTACCTCTCATAATGGAGGTTTCTGAGCAAGACCTTCAAACGTGGGCCCTCCTGGACAGAATATCATTTTCTTCACACTGGAACCCCCTTACCCCATTTAAGGTTGTTTTCCTTTCAAATATGACTTCTGAGGACAGGACCTTGTTAACACAAATTAGGGCTCTCTAGGAAGAGGTCATGATTCCTGTCATGCTGAAGGAAGCCTCTATCTTGTCCTCCATCCCAGAGCCTCCCAGAGCTGCAGATTGAAGTTATCGCTGACTACGAGGTACACCCCAACCGGCGTCCCAAGATTCTGGCCCAGACAGCAGCCCATGTGGCAGGGGCTGCTTACTACTACCAACGACAGGATGTAGAGGCTGACCCCTGGGGAACCCAGGTCAGAGGGCAAGTATGAATGACTAGGCAGCGGTTCTCAACCTGTGGGTCGCGACCATCGGAAAACACATATAGCATATCAGATATTTACATTACGATTCATAACAGTAGCAAAATTACAGTTATGAAGTAGCAACGAAAATAATTTTATGGTTGGGGGTCACCACAACATGAAGAACTGTATTAAAGGGTCGCAGCATTAGGAAGGTTGAGAACCACTGGACTAGAGACTCAAAAAATGGTGAAGGCCCATCAAGATATCAGGTCTCACATTCTTCCTCCTCCCGTGGGTAAAAGAGTTTGTAGACACAATCCAGGATAAAGGTATTCCCTACCCAGGAATCCAGCCCCATGTACTTTCTGGAGTCCCTAGTCAAATCAGAGAACCTAGTCCAGTGGTCAGCAAACTCATTAGTCAACAAAGCCAAATATCAACAGTACTTCTTCAAAATAGACTCGCCCAGGCCGAAAACTGACTTCTGCGCATGGGCCACGAAGTTTCAATCGCACTGTACGTGCGCCTGCACGTGGTATTTTGTGGAAGAGCCACACTCAAGGGGCCAAAAAGCCGCATGTGGCTCGAGAGCCGCAGTTTGCCGACCACGGACCTAGCCTATTCATAAAACTGTTACAAAACGGAGCGGGCAGAGCAGTGATTAGATCAGTGGTGAGACTCTGAAATTGAGGCTCAGCTTAAGAAACCCTTCCTCATGGCCAGAGTGAGCTCATCTACAAGAGTAGAGGAGGCTCACATGTGGAATCAGTGTCCATTGAGTGTGAATAAGTGAAAAAGCCTAGTTGCAGTGATAGTAGTTGAACTTTGTGCCGAGGTGATGTCCATGACCTTGCTTTTCTTTACCCTCTCCCCAGCACATATCAGGTGTGTGCATACATCCCCGATTTGGGGGCTGGTTTGCCATCCGAGGGGTATTGCTGCTGCCAGGAATAGAAGTGCCTGATCTGCCACTCACTAAACCCCTCGACTGTGTACCAACAAGAACTGACCGAATCGCCCTGCTTGAAAGCTTCAATTTTCATTGGCGTGACTGGGCTTACAGGGATGCTGTGACACCCCAGGAGCGCTACTCAGAAGAGCAGAAGGCCTACTTTTCCACACCACCTGCCCAGCGCTTGGCCTTGTTGGGCTTGGCCAAACCCTCAGAGGAGCCTAGTTCTGCATCCCCCGAGCTTCTCTTTACCACACTGATACCCAAATCTCAGAATCTCAGCAGAGCCAGGGGGTGGCTCAGCCCCAGGGTCTCACCACCTACATCCCCTGGCCCTTGATACCCTCCTCCCCTGTGGGATCCCTATTTATACCAATAGTACTTGCTAAGACTTATCTGGCTTTGGCAAGGCAAAGGTTTTATTTTGGCTAAAAGATGATTACTTTTGATAAAAGAATTATAGTAGAGATCTTCAATGAAGATAATGAGGCTCAGAAGTCCGGTCAAGACAGAAATCAAAGACTAATCAATATTAGTTAATATTTCAATAGGAAAAAAGACAAAGGCAGACTCTGAATCCCCACCTGCCTTGTCATATGGAATTATTGCCTGTTACCATTAGTCTGCAGTGCTACATGTTACAAGGACAAAGGGGTATTTATTGCCTGTTACCGTTTATCTGCAATGCTCCAAGATGTTACCTGATATAGGGCCTAAGGGACAACTAATCCTCTAAGCAATAATATAAATAAATAATGTATCATAGTGTTGTTGTGTGGACTGAATACATGTAAAGCATTTCTGAAACAGCCTAGCTTACTGCAGTATTATCAGCTGTTCTTGAAGGCCCTAGGAGTTCTATAATGCTGCTCTTATGTCTTGATGTCTGGTAGGCTGGGGTAGCTGATAAAAACAAGTGTATGGAAGAACACCATATAATATATCCTCACTTCTGAATCTGCCCTAGCTTTAAGGGCCCAGGAGGTACCCCAACCCCCACCAATACCTCTCAGGACAATGATATGAATGAGGGCAAAAAAAAAGGACTACCTCAAATCAAGGTTAGAACCCAGGGAAGGTGAGGTGTTCAACCTTATGCTTTTGATTTGCAAGGTTCTATCCTACAAATACCAACACTGTGCTTATCTTCTCCCCCTTGCAGTTATAAAGTTACAGAGCCTCTAATTCTAATCTTTTACAAAGCCAGTAGCAGATTTTCATCAGAAGCTAATCTTCCCTGGGCCGGGTGGCTCAGTTGGTTGAACAACTGTCCTGTACACCAAAAGGTTGCAGGTTTCATTCCCAGTCAGGGCACATAGAGATTGCAGGTTCAATGCCCATTCAGGGCACATGTGGAAGACAACTGATCAATGTTTCTCACATTGATGATTCTCTCTCTCCATTCCCCTCTCTCTAAAAACCAATGAAATCATATCCTCGAGTAAAGGTTTAAAAACAAAAACTTACAAAAAAAAGGAAGTCAATCTTCACGTTCTCATGCAGCCCTGCCTAAACTATAAAGAACAAATGCCCAAGTAATCAATATCATTGGTGCCTTAACTTACAATGCAGCCTATAATATAAACGTAAGTACCTTGGATAACACTAGAGCAGGTCTTGCTCTTCTTTCCAGATATAACAAAAGAAAAGTTAACACCTTGCCCAGCTGGTGTGGGTGTGGCTCAGTGATTAAGCATTTACCCATAAAGCAAAAGGTCACAGTTCAATTCCCAGTGGGCACAAGCCCAGGTTACCAGTGCAATCCCCAGCAGGGGGCGTGCAGGAAGCAGCCAATCAATGATTCTCTCAGCATTGATGTTTCTATCCCTCTCTCTGAAATCAATAAAAAATTTTTTTAGCCCTAACCGGTTTGGCTCAGTGGATAGAGCGTCGGCCTGCGGACTCAAGGGTCCCAGGTTCGATTCCGGTCAAGGGCATGTACCTTGGTTGCGGGCACATCCCCAGTGGGGAGTGTGCAGGAGGCAGCTGATCGATGTTTCTCTCTCATCGATGTTTCTAACTCTCTATCCCTCTCCCTTCCTCTCTGTAAAAAATCAATAAAATATATTTTTTTAAAAAAATTTTTTTTAAAAATAGAAGTTGCCCTGACCGGTTTAGTTCAGTGGATGGAGTGTTGGCCTGCGGATTGAGGGGTCCCAGGTTCGATTCCAGTCAGGGCATGTGCCTTGGTTGCGGTCACATCCCCAGTGGGAGGTGTGCAGGGGGCAGGGGGCAGCTGGTCGGTGTTTTTAACTCTCCCTCTCCCTTCCTCTCTGTAAAAAATCAACAAAATATATTAAAATAAATAAAATTAACACCTTGGTTCAATTCCATTCCCTGTGTCTTGCATTTCCCCTCTATAATTTCCTGGTTCTGAAGCAGCTCTCACTTATTTTCCCATAAGGAAAGCAAAGAATAAATCAAAGGCTAATGCCCCTAAAATGAAGAAATGGGGGTAGGGGAGGCCAGGGGAAGGTCAAGTGGGGAAAAAAAAAAAAAAAGGAGACATATGTACTACTCTTTGTAATAGTTTAAGCAATAAAACAAAATTTAAAAAAATAATAATAAAATAAAATGAAGAAACAACAAGGTCTCAGTTCAAGTTTAATAGAAACCACAAAAGATCAAAGGTGATGTCCCACTACTGTTTACATTAGATAATTTCCTCCAGAGGAAGTATGGCTGACCCTCCCCAAACCCTACAGGAAAGGCCACATCTGGGCTAAGTCTAAGATCTTGTTTTAAGTATGACAATAGTAAAAGAGAGGTTCTGTTCTCATGGCTGTACATTGCCGCATGACCCTATAATGACCCAGTGCTCACTTCTGCTTAGAGAAATATTCTTTGCTCTTCTGGACATCAGGCTTGATGGTATCACTGCCAGGTTTCCAGCCAGCTGGGCACACTGCAAGAGAAAGTTACCACTAATTAGTAATTTGCTCAGTGGTGAGCTCTCATGAACAAATGGATTCCTCAAAACTAAATCTGAGCCCTAAAGAGCCTGTATAAGCACCAGGAAGCCTAACCTACAGTCTAAGATCATAAGTATAAAAGCCTTTTAGTGCAAGGCTAACAACAAACATGCAATTTAATCCTCTCTATAGCCCCATTACTATTATACCTAGTTTATTCATTCAGCACCTGACATTTATTTTTAAAAAAGCAATAGCTTCAACTGTAGGCTTTGTTCAAAAAAACCTAAAACATGTGAGGCAAGATTTGTTAACAGTAGGTAGTAGATAAAGGGGTACTCATGTTCTCTATAATTTTATGTATGCTTCAAATGCATCTTTTAAAAAATAAGCTTAAATGCCGCTCTTAAAAAAGTGGTGCTGCCCTAGCTGGTTTGGCTAAGTGGATAGAGCATCAGCCTGCAAACTGAAGGGTCCCAGGTTCGATTCTGGTCAAGGGCACATACCTGGATTTCAGGCTTGATCCCCAGTAGGGGATGTGCAGGAGGCAGCCAATCAATGATTCTCTCTCATCATTGATGTTTCTATCGCTCTTTCCCTCTCCCTTCCTCTCTGAAATCAATAAAGATATATTTAAAAAAAACAAAAAGGTGCTGGGACAGCTGATTTCCACATGCAAAAGAATAACACTAGACTCTAAACTTAAAAAACGGATCAATGGCCCGGACGGTGTGGCTCAATGGTTCAGTGTCAACCTATGAACCAGGTCACAGTTCCACTGCCAGAGTACATGTGCAGGTTGTGGGCTTTATCCCCAGTAGGGGGCGTGCAGGAGACAGCCAATGGATGATTTTCATTGATGTTTCTATCTTCCTATCCCTTCCTCCCTTGAAATAAAAACATATCACTTCCTTCCTCTCTGAAATAAAAATATATATTTAAATCCTATATAATAAAAGGGTAATATGCAAATTGACCCTAACAGCAGAACGACTGGGAATGACTGGTCACTATGACACACACTGACCACCAGGGGGCAGACGCTCAATGCAGGAGCTGTCCCCTGGTGGTCAGTGCGCTCCCACAGGGGGAGCTCTGCTCAGCCACAAGCCAGGCTGATGGCTGCCAGCACAGTGGTGGTGGTGGGAGCCTCTCCCGACTCCTCAACAGCACTAAGGATGTCCGACTGCAGCTTAGGTCTGCTCCCTGCTGGTAAGTGGACATCCCCCGAGGGCTGCTGGGCTGCCAGAGGGATGTCTGACTGCCAGCTTGGGCCCGATCCCCCAGGGAGCAGGCCTAAGCCAGCAGGTGGACATCCTCTGAGGGGTCCCAGACTGCAAGAGGGCATAGGCCGGGCTGAGGGACTACCCCCCCCCCCCAGTGCACAAATTTTTGTGCACCAGGCCTCTAGTGTATATATATATAAAAAAATAAAAACTTTTTTCTTAAGAACCAACCAATGAATTCATAAATAAGTGGGACTACAGATCAACATTTCTCTCTCTCCCCTGTCTAGAAATCAATTTTTAAAAAATGGATTAATGGCCCTAACCAGTTTGGCTCAGTGGATAGAGCGTCAGCCTGCAGACTGAAGGGTCCCAGGTTTGATTCTGGTCAAGGGCATGTACCTTGGTTGCAGGCATATCCCCAGTGGGGAGTGTGCAGGAGGCAGCTGAATCGATGTTTCTCTCTCATCAATGTTTCTAACTCTCTATCCCTCTCCCTTCCTCTCTGTAAAAAATCAATAGAATATATATTTTTTTAAAAATGGATTAATGAAATAAATATAAGGGCTAAAATCATTAACTCTTCAAAGTGGAAAATCACGATTAATCCCTTGCCTCACTTTCCTCAGGTTAGCCTAAGGAGCACTGCTAATTCAGGATGGCAGGGAAAGGTTGAAGGCTATGCTTTCTGCATAAACTTCATGACCTTGGATTTGGAAATGTATTCTTAGATATGATGCTAAAAGCACAAGCAACAATAAAAAAACAGATAAGTTGGACTTGATCCAAATTAAGAACTTTTAGAACATTATAAAGAGAGTGAAGGCAACCCACAGAATGGGAGAAAATACTTATGAATCATATATCTAATAAGGGATTAATATCCAAAATGCAAAAAGAATTCCTGCAATTCAACCACACACAAAAAAAATTCAAAAATGAGCAAAACATCAATACATGAGTGGATAAAAAAAGTTGAGGTACATATCTACAATGGAATATTGGCCATAAAAAAGAATGAAATCTTGCCACTTGTGAGAGCATGAGTGGCATATCTCTCTGATATCCCACGGTTGTGGGTTCGAGCCCCTGTTTTCCAACCCCCGTCAGGGCACATATAAGAATCAACCAACTTCAGGTCTGATCCCCGCAGGCCAGGCCGAGGGACCCCACCAGTTTCAATTCCAGTCAAGGGCACATGCCCAGGTTGCAGGCTTGGTCCCCAGTAGGGGGCGTGCAAGAGACAGCCGATCAATGATTCTCTCTCATCATTGATGTTTCTATCACTCTCCTCCCTTCCTCTCTGAAATCAATAAAAATATATTTTTAAAAAACCAACACTTGAATTTGAGTGAAACATCTAAGTGTGGATCTTTCTAATTACTGGTATGGTCTTAAGTGCCATGACTTTAGGGCCAAGGAGACTAAGTTGGCAAGGTCTCTTTATCCTGGTTCATTATTCTTCCTCTGTGTGTTATAACTGGGTTGTTCTAAAGGTTTGTTTTCTTCTAGACAAAACAATCTTTTTGGTTGCTTATTAGCACCGACTGCGAAACTTTTGTCTGCCTATAGCCTGGTCTTTGCTTTCATGCTGCTTTGTTCTCTGCAGCTAATTTTGCCACTCCAGT